GGTGGGGAAGGAGAGGGGCAGGAAACTTGTGATAGAAAAACCTAGTAGTAGAAATAATTTGAAGGTGGTAACGGTGGTGGAGCCAGAGATTGTGGTGGTGAAGGGATAGCTCCTGCAGTTACAGGTGGGGATGGGGCAGGTCCTGCACTGAATGGCGGAAGTGGCGGTGGCGAGGGTAGTGGGGCAGATGGAGGGGCAGGGGGTAATGGGAGGCTTTTAGATAGGGAGAATGGAGCAGGCGGTGATGGAATGCTTGTAGACAGGGGAAGTACTGGAGGAGGCGCGGGTGAGGGTGCAGGCGGGGGTGCAGGCGGGGGTGCAGGTGGGGGTGCAGGCGGGGGTGCAGGTGGGGAAGGTGGTGCGGTTGGCGGCAAAGGCGGGTTTGGGGGAGTAGGTGCGGGTGGAGTCGGGGTTGGAACAGGGTTTGGTGGAGGTGTGGGTATATTAGGAGGGAGTGTTGGAAGAGTTGGGGGAGGAGGAGGGGGAGTAGGAGGGGGAGTAGGAACAAGATTTGGAGATGTAGGTTTAGTAATTGTGATGGTAGTTGGTGTAGGTGTGACGGATAATGGTTGTTCAGTTGTTGGTTTGTTTACTGTCTGTGTTGTCGCAGTATTTTCTGTCCCCGTCGTCCCTGGTTGTCCTATGAGTGAACCAGTATTTTGGTCTATGTCTGTTATTATGAGCGCTAGTAACGGAAAAAAGAAAATTAACGCACACCTTTAAATATTATTTTTATCTCCACGATAACAATACACTTTATTGCTATTTTACTGCTTGCCAGTACAACTTGAAATATAATTTAATCTTTATGGCAACCTTTTTAATTTTACTGTACGTCAAATTTTTATTGTATTATATATTTCTAATGCACAATTTCTTTGAGAGAAAATTATGAATAGTACTTCAGCAGACTTTTAAAATACATTTTACGGTTTTAAGCGAGTTAAGTTCCTATCACATTAGTATAGGTTTTAATATGTTGCATTCATAAGCTTGGTAGGTGTTTAAGCATATAAATTGGTCCGATGACTACAAGTATATTTTAGTTTATTTGAAGAATTTCTTCGTTCGTATGATCACCTCAATCAACCGATTTGAGCAGATGCTACATTAAAAAGTTTAGAAACATTTAAATTAAGGGTTAAAAATATTATATTTTATAATACCCTTTTATATAATAAGACATAATTTACCGGGGGGACTTCCATGCATGGGCCCTCGAGTCCTGTTACGTGCTTTTCCCCTTTGAGTTCTCTTTTAATATACATATACAGCTATTTCAAATAAGGTTGTCCAGGAGCAAAGCGGAAAAGTCGAATACAAGCGCGAAAGGCTGCTGGGAATCGCTTTGAAAATTCATTAATTTGTTAACGATTCCCAGCAGCCTTTCGCGCTCGTATTCGACTTTTCCGCTTTGCTTGTGGACAACCGTAATTGAAATAGCTGTATACGTGTTAAAACTTGTTTGTAACATTATGTTTTAGTAAACGAGATGTTTTAGTAAAATTTTGGTAAACTTTTTAGAGATTTTAACAATTCAGTAATTTTTTGTAAAAATTCGTGTTTGACTTGCATCTTGTGTGATAGAGATGCTATAAGCGATTAATGAGACTCTAGGGTGAAATTAATTTGGTAACATTTTCCTCGATTTAGTAAATTTTGAGCACAGAGTTATGTAAATAACCGCTGGAAATATATAGTCACACTAGATACTGTATTTAATTGGTCACGGAATATACATGCAGTATAACGGACAGATTACCTAAACATTGATCTCCTTGAAAGGTGTAGCCATCGGTACATTGGCAGACATTTTGAAAACATTTTGCATTTGAAGGACACGTCTTGCAGCCAGAAGATCCACCAGCTACAAAAGAAAACAGACTCAATATTAGTGAACTTAAGCAATGCTTAATCTGGCCAAGGTGACGTCATGAAAACCTGGTTTAAATTATGCACTTTTAGCTAAAGTAAGAACTATCGTTGATAAACAAAGGCGGAGATGAAATAAAAACAAATTAAAATCGCTTTCGAGACGATGGCAAGTCTTTTTTTGATACGACAAAACATAAGATCCTTGAAGTTTTTTGCTTCCCTACACGAACACTATAAGGCAAAATGCTGCCAAAATTAGTGATACCAATTTTCGTGTGACGCCCGTGTTGAGAAAAAACGTTGCTTGCCTAAGCTCACTACTACCGACACTCGACGCTACGTTTGACACATAATTATAAACATTGTATACAATATGCACCATCTACCAAACTAACATTACGTCATTTGATCAATTTCTGAAGTTGTTTCTTTCTGGATTTTTTTATTAATTTGGTTAGGGTTAGGGTTAGGGCTAGGGTTAGAGTTAGGGTTGCGGTTAGGGTTAGAAGTTAGAGAAGGGGTAGGGTTAGTTACATAGCCATTTAAAACACGGCATCAACTATTTCGCTGACCTCAGAATGACATTTCGTCAAAACTTTTTTCTTCAAGATTGGTTTAGAAACAAATTTGGAGTAGGGTTAGGTTAGGGTTAGGTTAGGGTTAGGGTAAGGGTAAGGATTCGGGTTATGGTTAGAGTGGGTGTTTGGAGTAGGGTTAGGATTAGAGTTGGTGTTTGGAGTAGGGTTAGTGTTAGTAAACCTGCTGCTTTGTTACGTTTTGTCACTCTGAGGCCAGCGAAATAATCTCTTCCATTTAATACCTCTTCCATCTTCCGAAAATGACGTCACATCAGTTTGGTAGATGGACACAAGTGCTGACTTATGCACAGACGCTATCTATTAACGTATTCCTGGTTACCTTCAACGCAGTGGAACCCAGTCCCAATATATCCCTTCTTACATCGACATTTTCCAGCGACACATAGAGCTTGCGCGTCACATTTCGCACATTTGTCAACTAAAAACAAGAAGAGAGATCACTTGTGATAACTACTTATTTACAACGATCTTCTCTCCTTCCTATTCAAATTTGGGTACTCCGGTTTCCTCCTGTAAAAAAACTGGAACATAAAAAACGACGAACTGAACAGAACTTTTCTCTATAGTTACTGATAGAACAATCTCTTACGCCCGTATTCTAAAAGCTCACTCTCACTCAAAGAATAGAGGTTCAATCTGAGCTTCTTTTGAGTGTCAGTGCTGTTTTTGAATAGCTGTTCAAAAACGACATTGACACTCAAGAAAAGCTCAGATTGAACCTCCACTCATTGAGTGCGAGTGTGCTTTTAGAATACAGGCGTAAGTTTCAATTTTTATAGCAGCACTGGTCAAGACATATAATACTGACTCTTATAGAGAAACAACCTTTACTGGACCTCTGGGGTAAAAAGTATAGAAATATGCCGCGAATTACTGGCAATGTCGGTACCAATAGCTGCATTCTAAGATACTTGCTGCAAAAAATGAAATCTATTTGCATGGTATATATAAATAAATCATAATTTATATAAATAAGTTTAGGAACCCCTACCGTGACAGTGGGCTCCAGTAAACTGGTCAGGACAGTTGCAATCATAACCTCCAGCAACAACTTGGCATAATCCTCCATTTTGACATGGGTTTGGATGGCACACCTCGTTCCTTGACGGTGATCTACCAACTGGTGGGAAGAAGTTTAGTGACTATTGTATGTCAATGAATATTAGTTTTCCAAAGTAGTAATTAATGCTATAGAATCAATCAATGCGCCTTTCCTACACACGTAAAAACGCACAAGTTGTTACAGGTCTGCACACAAGTTATTACAAATCAGTTCACAAGCTGTCGACAAGTTGTGTTCGAACTGCTTGTTCCCAGTTGTTGTAAGAGGTTCGCAACAAGCTGTTAACAACTTGTTAACAATGTTCATAAACTGTTAAAGCTGGCTTACACTATCGACGCCTCGACAGTGGCGTAACTCCTATGAGCTCTACCCGGTAAGAGCCGGGGGCAGTCAGGCAATCAGGTTTCCAGAGGGGCACCCTGAACTGTGCTATCCGGGATCCTTGTTATGTATAAGTAAATACAGTAGCAAACATTTCACTGTTTATGTCAAAAACAATTTCTGCAAACAATTTCTTATTTTATAGTTGTGTTTTTTGTATTTTGCTATATATTTATATTTCCAGTTCAAGAAACCATTAAAATTCGCTTCTACATGACCAGCAAAATGTTCATATTGTCAGAGCTTTATGGTACTTCAAAAGGATCTATAGGATCCCCCTGCCTTGGGGGCACCCAATTCCGGTAGGACCAGGGGCAGCCTAGTCCAAACTTACGCACCTGCGTCTCGAGTTAAACACTGAGCCAGTTCCCTCAAACATTTCTTACGAATCCTTAAAAATTTACCTATGCAAAATCCCTACAGTGATCACAGAAACTTTGATAGTGTAAACTAGCCTTTAGTCAGCAAACTTACTCTGAGTGGGATCTTCTTCACATCGAGGTCCATTGTACGGAAGTTTACAATGACATTTCCTTAATTTATTTTCCACATAACAAGTACCACCGTTTAAACATGGATTGGGAGAGCAACCATCTGAAATAGAAAATAACATTAGATATTTTTTATCTTGACTAAAACTCTGGTTTGAAACGAGGACGACAGTTGATGACTGATGATAGATGCAACTCTCGCTCGCGTTTCATGACCACCAAGGCACCAACTCCCATCGACTCTCATGCATTTTCATCAACTTTGAGCTGGTTCAAATTTTGACGAAAGTTTTCGTTAACGGTAATATAGACCCATTGCACTGATGTCACAAATCCTTAGAGTGTCCTCCAGATACTCTCTAACAATATCTGTTCTGGTACAACAACCACATACAGCGCAAAAATTAACCATCTTAATACGAAATTATTATAAAGTTTTACAAAATTTGCTTTGTTTGCAAAAGTTATATTGTGGGTAGATTGCTAATTTGTCCTCCAGATGCATCGTCACCAGGGATGTGACGTCATGTGCAATGGATCTATTCAGTAGTCAACTCTCATCAACTCTCATGCAACTCGTGGTCTCGGTTCACATACATGATGATGGATAAATAATCGCCTGAAAATCGATCAGGCAAGATAGTGAAACTCAGAGTAGCGAAAAAAACATTGTTACTTTAAGGATATTTTAATTATATAGCTCTGCTGTACTCTTTATAGTATTGAGCACACTTTTTAGTCTTTCAACGAAAAAATAACTTGTTTATATATAAAAAGGGATTGAGTCTACGGGGATTGGTAGCGAGTGTGCAGTGGTCAGAATAATATGAAACAAAGTTTTTCATATTTCTGAGGATGCTTCCGAAGAAGAGTTTAAACCTAAACTTAGTTTACTTACTTATTTCACAGCTATTTCCAATCCAAGGCGAAGCACAAACACATTCATACCCACTTCCACTAATCATTCTGCACGTCCCGCCGTTTTTGCATGGTTTGTTCAAACAAGGAGAGTATGCCTCTAGATAAAAAATATCGTCGATTAAATTTCTTATATATAGCCACAGGTTAGGGATGAACCATTAGATATCCTGGGAGGAATGTGGGGGGGGGGGGGGGGGGGGGGGGGGGGGGGGGGGTTGAGAGGTGTGGGCCAGATCCCCCCAAAATTCATGAGAATTAAGTTATTCCGAAAACAGGCATACATTACAATCAAAATTAACCGCGGCTATAAGGTATTGCTAAAACAGCAGCGTTTCAGGTTTTGGTAAAAATTATTTCTGGAGAATACTATTGCAGGCTCGGAGAATCTCAGCCGAAGGCTCAGCATGATCAAGAGGACCATGATGTTACGGGGGTTAATTTTTCGAATTTTAATGCTCTGAAGAGCAATGCCATTTCCGGGTATTTCAGGGATGAAAGATACTGTGCAACTGACGTTTGTGGGCGCAGATGTTTGGGGCGAAAAGATATGCCAAAAAGAGGCATACATTAGAACCACAAACCGTGGCTAAAATTTAGGTATGCCAAAAACAGGCGTACATTATAGCCACAAACCGTATAAGGCAAGCCAAAAACCATATCATAACTTACTTGCTGACACGCACTGTCCTTTTGAGTTCAAATTATATCCTCCTGGACAAATACACTCTCCAACAGCGTCACATATTAATTCTGCAGTGTTTGGACCTGATGCCTTCGGACACTCACAAGCTAGAAAATGGATAAAGTATCGCAACTGGGTTATTTCATAAGCCTTCTATAAACTCATACCACCGTTTTTAGATGCCACGATTGAAAAACAAAACTGACCATAGTCTATCAAGATATGATAGTCTGGAAAAGTCATTGTATTATGTTTTTGTCGGAGTTTATGTTAATTTGTGCACGGTCACGGTGATTGAGCTCATAGTATTTTCGTAGAATGAAGTAACCGTCCAATAGGGATAGCTGAGATGAAACGTGCAGCCACGATGAATAATATTTAATGAAGTTGAGACAAAGGATTTATGCATGGTGAGGTACAGTTCAATATCAAACAAAGGGTTTTTGTGACTTTGAAGTCTTCCAGGCTTTCAGATCGTCATACAGTATCTTGACAGACAATGAACTGATCAAGGTCTTTGGAAGAAACACTGGTCCAGTCAACCAAAGCTGGTACTCATTTTAAAATCAGCTGGTGAATAGTTATCCCTATACGACCCAACCACATACGCACACGAGAGAATGTGGCTTAGCAAACGGCCTCGCAATGTTCTTTCTTCAGTCAGAAGCTCTCGTGTGCAACTGACTCACGCTGATGCAAAGGCTCCTTTTCCACGCGAAGGCTTTGGACCTTGCGCTTCGATATATGGATGCATAATGTCCTAGATCAAACTCAGTAATGTTATATAGCTGCGAAACAAACTTACTTTCACAAAACTGTCCAACAAAACGTCCTTTGCATTTACACGCTGGTTTCCCATCTTCGTTGATGCATTCGCCATTATTTAAACAAGGATTGGGGAGACAGGAGTCTGTGACTGAAATATTTTCATAGAAATATGGATAAGTTAAGCCTGCTACACACTGGCAATTCTGTCGGCGATTTTTCTCCTTCTGGCAAATGTGATTGAATGAATGACATGCAAAAGACTTAGAATTGTTTACTTCTGAAAAGCGACTCTATATGATTTTGTGTGGAGTTCACTCATTTGCATCCGTCAGAAACACAAAATCGCCGACAACATTGCTAGTGTCAACCAGGCTTTAACTAAATAACAGGGTTGTCAACCTTGGGATTTTGTCCCAAGATCTTGGGATTTTTTAAGTGAATGGGATTTTTTGGGATTAACTTTTAGAAATAAGTCCATGGGATTTTTCTAGTCAACAAGTAATAGAAAGAAAGCTTCTTAGCAGAAAAATATTTGTGAATTAGTACATCTAATGCATCTTTTCATTAGTGGTTTGATAATTTATTGTATCCAGTTATTCGTAGATACATGGGGATCCAGTTCGTTTATTTATTTCCAATTTTTTCAACAATGCTGAGTCTGTTCCATACAGTCTTCTTTTCGGAAAATTTGGGTACTCCGGTTTCCTCCTGTAGTAAAACTGGAACATAAGGAATGACCTGAACAGAACCTCTATAGTTACTGATAAAACAATCTCTTCGTTTCAATTTTTGTAGCAGCACTGATCAGGACAAATAAAACGGGACACCTTGGGATTTTTTAGGGTCTTGGTAGGGATTTTTACCCAACTCCAACTGGCAACTCGATTACTCTGCTAAATAAGCAGTTTTAATGAAGACATTGACGAAACCCTATATTTTCTCTAGAAGCTAAGGTTTCCTCCCCTAGGTTACTAGGAAAGTTCTAATACATAGAATCTTGAATGGCCTATGCCAGTGTAGGTAGAGGCAATAACAAGAAAGTTTCAGATTGATAGGGATACAACTACCTGAAAAATACAAGGAGAACTTCGACGTTTCGAGAGAATGCCCTTCATCGCGTAGTTACTAGCCCTCCTGACCAAGGGCCTTCGCTGGAAACGTCGAAGTTCTCCTTGTATTTTTCAGGTAGCTAGTTTAGTTTGTTTAGTTTTAGTTAGATTTATAGACACGGATTATAAACTAGAATTTCGCTTACTTTTTTCACAATCCTTCCCACTGTATTTGGACGAGTGACAGACACATCTGTAATCTGCGTTCTGTAAGGAGACACACTGACCCTTATGACGACAAGGACTCGGAATACAAGGATTCTTTTCTACAAATTAAATAAACGTATTTAATAAAGTAGAGTTCAATGGCTGTAGTTTGCTAGAAACACTTGAAAGAACAAACAAACAAATCAAATAAAAATAAATTGGGGCACGGGAGCCCCTACCTACAGTAGTGTCCACTGCTGTTTGCGATGTAAGTAAAAGTAACATAGAATTTATAGAAAATTGGAGTTACCCTCGCATTTGGCTCCTGAATAACCACCAACACAAAGACAATCATAACCTCCCTGAGCATTCTCTTTGCACGCAGCTCCGTTTTTACAAGGGTTGGGATGGCACAGCCGAGCTTCACCTGAAAGAAAAACATGTTAAATCGTAATCATCACTGACAATAATGAATAAAAAAATAAAATTTGGGCACAATGCCACCGAAGGGGTTGAAGAAGCCATCACAATATTTCTAGAAATCTTCACTAGGTGCATGCTAATACAATATTCTGGAGACTTACGTTCGCAATGAAATCCATCGCCTTTGTAACCTGGATTGCAGATGCATGTGTTATTGATGCACTTCGCATACGGGTCACAGTTCTTGCATACATCAACTGCAAATACAAAATAATTAGAGAATGTAAGTATAAAAAAAGAAGGAAATGTACAGTACCAAACGAAACATTAGCACAGTGTCAGTTTGCAATAATATTACGACAATTTCGAAACTCCATTGAAGTAGAATTGTTTATGTTATACAATAGTTAACAGGATGGGAATTATATAATTGTAGGCCGGAAAAAATTCTTAATTCGCACCAACGGTTAACTTAAATAGTACAATTGCCTCGTGAAAGTCAGAGGTCACACAGTTTTGCACAAATTTGGAATAACATAGGTAATACCAAACAGTTTTATTTCTATCGAGTTGCATGCCACAGACTGATTTGAATGACATTCTGCTACTTATTCTGCCAGAGGTTGCACAATTTAAGTTTACAAATGCTGTAACTAGAAAACACCACTGATATTATTTATACCAAAAGTTACGATCGCTATGAGTGGAAAGATTGTCAAAAAGTAGAGTAGAACTGTTATTACAGTCGTTTCTATTGTTTTTATTTTTATGTCATGCACATTTATTTACCTTCACAATTCAAGCCCGAGAAGCCAGGTCTACAGATACAGAGATAATGTAAAGATCCATGGTTCCATTTGGAAGGATAACCATTGTATCCACTGAACGAATCCACACAGAGAGCACCATTGAGGCATGGCCTGATGTGACACGGGTGTGGAACTACGAATTCCAAACAAACAAAAGTTATACAGTATATAATGCTCTTAAATTATGAATGAATGACTTGATTGCATTAGTCAATCAAGTCAATAAATAAATAAATAAATAAGTGGGTGTGTGTTAATCATCCTTACTTGCAGCTGAGAGCTAAACTGAATTGCGAAGAACACACTTCAAACCTGATCGAGTCGAAGGCTTTCTAAGGGCGCCTCTGGCAGCCACCTTATGACTCATGTCTGATCACGGGGCACAGCTACGGTAGAAGGGTCAGTTAGGGGCTAATCCCAACCCACCCTGTCAACATTCCCTGTGGGAGGAAACTGGAGAAAACCCACGATTTTCGGTAGAGCGTTGACGGATTCTTTTCATATAAGTGTCATGAGTCCGCAGCAAAAATCGAACCCACGATCGCAGAGGTGAAGAACATTAATATTGAATAAACGACGAAGGGAAGGCATAAAAGAGTGGAATGTAAGGAGAGTTAGAGAAATAAAAGCAGGTGGAACAGAAGAGAGAAGAAAGAAAGAGACCAGTCGCCCTTAGTGAAAAGCAAATGACAAGTTATATAATAAACAAAAATCTTACTTTCGCAGACGTCGCCTTTGAAAAGTGGAGGGCATAAACATTTGAAATGACCAGAGTCCACTGAACATCGCCCTTCGTGCATGCAAGGACTAGGATGACAGACGTGTTCTAAAAGAAAAAAGGAAAGCAATGAATATATGAATATACAATCTTGGATATAACTGATTATTACGAATAAAAATTCCCATACTCCTTATGATAACCTAGAATTTCTTAAGTGCACATGATAATTCGGTAGATGTTTTTTTTTGAGAAGATAAGACAAGATCAAGATGATTAAGAATTTATACCTCCACAAAACTCGCCAGTGAAGCCAGCTGGGCACGTGCAATTGAATCCTTCATCATGCTCCAAACACGTGGCACTGTTTAAACATGGCTGCTGGAAGCATTGCCTCTCCTCTGAAAATGATTCGAAATTATCTGTATTAGCACCATCATAATTTAGGGTGATCACCAAATCGTATCATTTAACTGGATGTATGTGACGAAGTGGTGAAGCTACCCAGCTATCCTGTTAGTTTATCAATTGAAAATATTTCATTTTACCTTGACAGGTAGGTCCTTTATATTCGGGCGTACATAAACAAACAGACTTTCCTTCTCGTTCTTCGCAAGTGCCAGCATTTTTACACGGACTGGGCTTGCATTTGTCAACCACTAAACAACGGATAAAGCGAAATAGATATCATTACACTAGTGGCCAACACTAGAAATGGTCCCCATCCCAATATTCTTCTTACTCTCACTGAAAGATAGCTTGCTAAATATTTAAGTAGTAAAGAATGTTGGATGCTTAACCATTAAATATTAAGTCTATTAAGCCCCATGCAGTCGTGGAAATATTTAAACACTCTTCTCAACTAAGTTATTCCCTTCCCTTTGTTGCTTATATTCTAGACAGAAGCGACGTTCACTAGAGGGGCCAACATGTGCGCTGGCACCCCCCCCCCCCCGCCTCAATATACATGTTAAAAGAGACCCTTTGTAGCTGCACATTCTGTGTAGAATCTTCATTCGATAGAATCTTACATTCGCAACGTTTTCCCTTGTTTCCAGAACTGCAGATACACTGGAAACCTTCATCTTCGTCAGATATCGTACACGATCCACTCGATTTACATGGATTAGGCTGGCATGGATTTTTCTCTGAAAGAAAACGAGACAAAAGGTTATAGTAATTATTACGCCTTACTATAGTTTTGTCTGAAGTACCTGAAAAAAGTATCTCAAACGTAGCGGTCCAGTGCAAATAGTATTCTACAATAAGTCGCCGTGGTTTGAGTCTGAACTACCTGAAAAAGACTACGCTTCCTTACCTTCACAGTGATTCCCCATAAAGCCTCGCGCACACAAACACTTATATCCATTCACCATCTCTTCACACGCGCCATTATTCTTGCAGGGACCTGAGGAGCAGTAGTTCCTGTCTGAAGGAGAACAGAATGTTAGCAAATTCAAATAATAATACTTTCAATCCAAAAAACTTTATATTATATGCTTGCCCTAATGGCAAATGATAAAGTTACGTACATCACTGAGGAAACCAGTGAAAACAAAATGCGAGGGAAATACCTTGACAATTTTTTCCACGAAATTCTTTAGGACAAATGCATATGTAATCGTGATGAACCTCTGCATATATCCCGCCATTAAGACATGGGTTACGGTGCACTAGAATAACGAGAAATTTAAACTGTTTTTAAAATTGATTGAAGTAGAGGTTCATGGTTCTTGACAGTAACCTTCCAGCCCTATGCCGTTTTTTATTATAATTTCACCTCCGTCGTATACGAGTTCCAAATACCAGGAATTTGATCCTTACTGGATCTCTATGGAGAACAATTTATAACTGATAGAGTTATCTAATACAAATAAAGGTACTTCAGTTTAGGTTTTCTTCTGTAGTAACACTGGAGTAATTAGGCAATGCCATTGCTGGATCTCCAGGGGCAATAGCTCAGAACTGACAGAGCTACCTACACTATAAATAAATGTACTTTAGTTTAGGTTTTCTCCTGTAGTAACACTGGATCAATAAAGGATTACCTTTACTGGACATCTAATTTAACAGAATAGTTTAGAACTGAGAGCTACCCAGCATAAATAAAGTTAGTTTAGTTTAGGTTTCCTCTTGTGGTAACACTGGATCAATAGAAGATTACCCTTACTGGACCTCCAGGAAGAACAGTTTAAAACTGATAGAGCTATCCAGTATAATAAACAAAGTTAGTTTAGGTTTCCTCCTGTAGTAACACTGCATGGATCAATAGAAGATAACCCTTACAGGACATCTAGGGAGAACAGATTAGAACTTGTAGAGCTATCTAATACAAATAAAAGTAATTTAGTCTAGTTTTCCTCCTGTAGTAACAATTGGCCAATAAAGGATTACTCATACTGGACTTCTATTGGGAGCACGTACTGTAGAGCCATCCGGTATAAAAAAACTTAATTTAGTAATTAATTATAATCGATTATATTATTTTGTATAGTAAAATTAAAATTCCTTACGATCTCTATGGATATGAAAGTGCTGTACTTTCAATTGATTCGGAACTTCAACAGGAACGGCAATTGGCTTGGCAACATACTTGATTTGTGTCACAGGATACGGCTGGGGAACATAATTCATACGACGATCTAAATATGGCTGTTCTTCAAACTTATTCACAGGAAAAGGCTCAGGAATTGACACGAAATTGTCCCTCTTTTCACCGGTTTTGTCCACAAGATGCTTCTTCAATACATTAGCCCGCGTTTTAGCTTTGGCAAATAATGAAGAGGTAACTTTAACGTTCTTTAGTTTTGTCACGTCTTGACCTTTTGAACTGGATCGAATTTTATGTTTTAAACTGTTCGCTTTGGTATTGTGTTTGAAGCTTTTGCCATCAGTAGCACAGCAGTTATAAGAAGGTACCAAAAGTATCCCACATACGATAAAAAATCCACAAAAATACAGATTTAGTTGTTGAGAATTCCGTAAGAATCCAGCCATTGTCAAATTAATTTGTTATAACAATTCCATAAAATGATGTTCCATTATCGCATCTTTGCCTGCATCAATGATTTTATAAATCTGTCACATCTAGACAGCGCGATTCCTCATCGAAGTCCTGCCATTCCTGAGAAAATAATTAGCATAAATTGCATGCAATTGTCGAAAGGCACGGCCCCAGATAACACGATGTATATTAGTCTGCTAAAAGGACAACATAAATCGCAAATAGTAAAATAAGTCGAAGTTAATGTAAACGCTTTGTGATTGTTTTTACTGGTAAAACGTTTAGAATAATACAATCTAACAGGTACTAGCTTTTGTGAACCGTTAAAACTAGCCAGCAATTGAAAAGATTCTGACAAGTATTTTCAAGAGCGGGAAAGTATAAAATTCTTTGGGTTCTTTAACAAATGTAGACCAGCTTGTAAATTTTCGAAATGGGTCATAGGCTTTAGACTGCGAGCGGTCCCTCCTTTCCGCGGGTTTGGAAATTTCAAAATTTTGGACAAAGTTGATACAAGTTCTTCAATGGAAATATATCTATGCAGTGTTTTGACAGAATTTTCTCGCAAAATTTGCAAAATTTGGGAACCAAATTTACAGAAATGAGCATCGCTAAACATTAAAAGAATTAAACAGTACATTTCTAACAAGGCAAAGTATATAATGAAAATTAAAACATATCCTTCATCATACAATATATATTTTTAAATTCCAAATATTGATTTAAACAATTTGCATGCATATTAAATCAAAAAACAAAAATGCTATCAATTAAGTGGAATTTTTTAATTCAAGCAATCAATGGAATCGATTTTGAATAAGATACTGAAACTCCGTAGAAACACTTGTTTTCTTTTACAATAGCGAATGCACTGGGTGGAACAAGCTATATCTAATCTCAAATGACCTCTACAATAGCGTAAAGGGCAAAAAATAAGGTACGTTTTTATAAAGTTTTACAGTCAATCTTATAGGTCTCATATACTACTTTCCAATCGGTTTAAATTAGAATTCACACAACTTTAAAGTGTATAATATATTTATTTTGATCATATCTGTTTATACAGAGTTTTAAATTAACAGTTTTATGACAAAGCTATATGTTACCGAAGCTACTATGTTTAGCATTTTATCTAGTTGTAACATCTCAGATTGACATTCACAATAATTGTAGTATAGTTATTGCTATATTGTTAATGGATCTTTTAAAGTTTACCAGAATATAAGATATTTATACAATTTATGAAAAACAATAAGAATATTCTAATTTATCAACATTAGGATACATTTTGGATAAAAAACCTTATACCGTCGATTAAACAAATTAGTCATGCTATATATAGTATGTCACAGATATGACTTATACAGAGACCGCGTAGTAATTTTACGATTGTGGGGGAGGGGGGGGAGGACTTGTATTCAGATTAAGTAAGGTCGAACCTTCCTAGGGAAGTCTGGGGGTATTGAAAATTACCAGTCCAAAAAGTGCATTTCCAGCCATTTCCCTCAATATTTTTTATTGCAGCCCCTTGTTGCGGTCCCTGTTGTATAAAGTCCTTCGCTACGACATTCCCTCAATAATACTAAATTGTTGCTAAATTCAAGTCACTGTCCACGAGTTTAGGTCCTGAGGTGTAACATTATAAAATATGCGCGAGTTTATGCTTTTATTTGAAAGGTGACGCGGCCGGCAGACAGACAGATTTTGGTGAAAGTATTTCCAAAACTGTTCTAAGTTTTCTTCGTTCGATGACGATGTTTTATTTTTGACCTGGCGGTTTTCATAATTTGTGACCTGCAAGATTTAAGTTGAGATTTTAAAATTAACTTGATTTAAAGGCACAGTTCAGCCTGTTGAACGATGGTTTTTAAGGCGCATTTCAGCCCTGTTAATTGAAAAAACTAACTAGGAAAATCAATTAAGCATAATTCAAAATCACCAATCTTAATGTTTTTAACATTTTAAAACATTCATATTGTTAAAAACATCGAGTTTACTGATTTTGAATTATGCTTAATTGATTTTCCTAGTTAGTTTTTTCAATTAACAGGGCTGAAATGTGCCTTAAAAACCATCGCTCAACAGGCTGAACTGTGCCTTTAACTTTGTTAATTCTACCAATTTTTTACGAGATTTTAATTTGTTTATTTATTGGTATTCTGTGTCATATGAGTCACGATTTAGGAACAGTTACGCCCGTATTCTAAAAGCTCACTCACACTCACATTCAATGAGTGGAGGTTCAATCTGAGCTTCTCTTGAGTGTCAATGCTGTTTTTGAATAGCTGGAGGGTTAGTGTCGTACCTTACTATGTGACTACTCACCCTCCAGCTATTCAAAAACAGCATTGACACTCAAGAGAAGCTCAGATTGAACCTCCACTCATTGAGTGTGAGTGAGCTTTTAGAATACAGGTGTTAGTATTCTTGGACTTTTAGGGTTAGGGTTAGGATTAGGGTTTGGATTAGGGAAAGGGTTAGCATATTAAGGTTAGGATTAAGATTAGGATTAGAGTTAGGCTTAGGATTAGGGTTAAGTTTAAAATGCAAAAGAATACAAAATTACGGTTGACAGGGTGGGTTAAACATATATATAGTTCAGGAGGCAGATCATTAATGAGGTATGGACTAATAGCGGCTGCTTGAAGCGCCATTTGTAAGCTCACAGTCTACCTCGGTCTGCTCCCAGTTCTGTCTATCTATCTATTCACAATGTAACCAGTCATTGAAAAACCCTGATAGGGAGTGTGCTGTTTAATATCTGTATCTGTATTTCAATTACAAAAGTCTAAAAATAGTAACTTTTCTTAAAACTTGATAGGCGTACCACAATGGCTATAGGCTTGACAATATAGGTGCTCCCTCAATTCTCACAGTAAAATACCAATCCACAGACCTAACCCACCCACTGTACCTAGATTCTCCACCCGTATTCTACTGGGTGCTACCACAACTCCCATATTAAACTAGTCTATTTCCCATTGAGAAAACAAGAAATACAAGATAGCATAGAAGATCGTCATTACCTTTTAGACATACATATATTTCCATAGCATTGACTGGGAGGCGGACATGTTGAATACGAACACGTTGAATATGTAGTTGGAGGTGGGGGAGGTGGAGGGGCTGGGGTGGCTGTACAATGAAAAAAAAACATAAATTACACAGTGGTAGATATTATGGGACAGGGGAACTACGTATTTGAAATGAAGATCATTAGATGATTGACACGGAATTCAAATGAAGAGACATTTACAGTGGAATCGCGTTGATATGGCCACAAACGGGAGACAAAAATTTGATGGTCAATGGTCGTATGAACGAGGTGACTGTAAGGGGGGTGGGTGTCCACTACTTACGTAAAGAACAGCTTTGACCATCGCCTACTAGCGGGAATAGACAAATACACGATCCTTTCTTGCATGTCGCCTGGGGACTACAACTGTCGCATTCATTGTCTGACTCTACAACAAGAAGAAAAATAGTCTTGCGATTTGCAACTCTTAACCTGCAATCGGCGACTCGACTTGAATACGAGAAATTAATCGACTCAGGGGCTCATTTGGATTCGGGACGATTCGTTTAATAAAACTCTAATCACGGCTTTGATAAACATCCAATGTGACATTTCAAAGTTGAATTACAGAATAGTTTAGTTTGATTCTAGTAACAGTATAAAGTTCATTCAAACGATCTTTTATGGTCACGAAAGCTTTTTCGTGAGGCTCATACGAACAGCCCCTTAATTTGTTGATTTCTGCCGTAAATGACTACAACTTGTTCAGAATTCATCGAAAATAGTCAGGAAGAACAACAAGGCCTGAAGAGTTTGGAATAAAGAATACTGATACTGATTATTTGATTTCTGACTCCAGTTGCAAGTTAGTATGTTAATCGTACGCATTTTGTAGTACTTGTAGAGAGATAGATCAGTGCCATCGAAAGCAAACTGATCTATCTTAGAGATCAGTGGCGTCGAAAGCAAACTGTTCGGGGGGCAACACCCCCACAAAAAACAATGTTGTTAAGATAAACCTGAATGTTTACTAACTCTGCACATTGCATGCCCCACACTTTTGACTCATTTAGAGAATAAAATACAACTCGACTCGCGACTTTCACTTGCTTCGTATTGCAGTGATCAGATATATAAAATCCATACCTTTCACACACTCATATCCGTTTCCTATGTACCCCGTCCTGCACTTGCAATGACCGCTGACACAAATTGCATGTGGATCACATTTTTCACATTCGTCAACTAAAACGTAAACACAAAGAAAGGTATGCACACGATTTTTGTTGTGCAAAATCACTTTCATAAACTATGAAGTTAAAGGGACAAAAATACACAGGTCTTTGCCCGCTTCGGACTACGAATGCTCACACTTACTTTCGCAATGAGGTCCTTTATATCCAGTGGTACAAATACAGTCGTACCCAGGCCCATTTTCACGACACGTCCCAGCATTTTGACAAGGATTTGGGTGACACTGCGACTTGGGAGCCAGGGCTCGAACTGTAGATAAACGTAAATCAACAATAGAACTGTTATCGAAAAAGGGCGTCCACTTCCCCACCATGTCAACCTCCATGCTGCCCGTTTACACTTGCAATTTTCGCATTGTTCTTCTTCTCCTGATGGATGAGAACGAGTAGATGAGTTGTGAATGTTCTGAGTACATGTTTCTTTATTTCTTCATCTGAGCATTTGTAACTCATCCACTCCTTCACATCCATCAGAAGAAGATCGTACTAGAAATCGCAGCAAAAATTGCAAGTGTAAACGGGCCTTAAGAAAGTATAATCCAATGTCGTAATTCTGTTACCTTGACAATAATCCCCTGAGAAACCTTGCGGACACGTACAGGCAGGTTTGTTGCTTGCTAAGGAGCAAACACCATTGTTTTTGCAGGGGCTAGGACTGCAGGGATCCGCTCTTCCCACCGACTGAGTATCCTCTGAAAAATTTACGAAAAGATTAGGATTAAGGTTATGCCTTTTTTTTTGGTTGTGAAAAATAATGTCATCGTCGTCGTCGTTGTTGTCGTTGTTGTAGTTGTTGTAGTTGTTGTAGTTGTTGTCGTTGTTGTCGTCGTCGTTGTCGCCGTTCTTGTTGTTGTCATCGTTGATGATGTTGTCGTCGTTGATGTTCTTGTTGTCGTCGTCGCTGTTGTCGTCGTCGTCGTCGTCGTTGCTGTTGTTATTGTTGTCCTCGTTGTTGTCATTGTTATCGCCGTCGTTGTTGTCGTCGTCGTCGTCGTCGTCGTCGTCGTTGTTGTTGTCATTGTTATCGTCGTCGTCGTTGATGTTGTCGTCGTTGTTGTTCTCGTCGTTGTTGTTCTCGTCGTTGTTGTCGTCGTCGTCGCTAGAGACGTTGTCGTCGTCGCTGTTGTTATTGTTGTTGTCGTCGTCGTTGTTGTTATTGTCGTCGTCATTGTTGTTGTTGTTGTTTTCGTCGTCGTCGTTGTTACCGTTCTTATTATCTTGTCGTTGTCGTGTTGCTCAGACTACAGCTTGATTTACAACCAACAGCTTGGTTTGTATCTCAAGTACCTGAACAAGAATAAAAACATCTCGAGCTTAGAAATCTTTTTCAGGCCGATACAACCACCGCAGCTTAGTGTAGAACGCTGCTTACACTTGCGATCCATGCAGGATAGTTTTACCCACCCATTCATTTACCCGCTCATTCAACTTGCGATTTTTTTGTGCCAAACAATATCAGTACTTTTTTTCTGTGTTGGTGTAATGTACTCAGGTGAATATGATGTTTGTGATGTTACTCTCAGTGTATATCTACACCGGGCAAGCTTGAAAAATATGCCTGGCCACGGTGGGAATCGAACCTACGGTGTGGATATACACTCAGAGTAACATCACAATCATGATATTCATCTGAGTACATTACAGCAACACAGAAAAAATTCATGATTACTAGATTACATCAATATCGAAGGAACTGGACTCAGTTCCGAAATATCTCATACTCGAACCGACGTGACTGCGTGGCTCAGTTGGCAGAGCATTTGGCTAGTATTCCAAAGGTCGTAGGATTCCCACCGTGGCCAGGCATATTTTTCAAGCCTGCCCAGTGTGGATATACACTCAGAGTAACATCGCAAGCATAATATCTGTACTATTCAACTTGAAAAAATAATTGACTAGAAATTTGTTTGCTTCCAACCAAGAGCTACAGTAGTAAGGCAAGAATGCGAATTACCGTCCTCACAAAATTTTCCATCGTAGCCCTCAGGACACTCGCACCGTCCCGGTTGATGGCAGACACCGCCATTTTTACATCGGTTTGGAGTACACGGGTCTGCAGCTGGAAGAGAGAAGGAATTATTGTACTCCGAAGATATCTCCACGGGGGCGGAGCGCCGGTGGGGTTTACCACCGATTAATGTCTTTAAAATATGCTGTACATGAAGGATTAAATTCATGTTACATTCCCACTTTAACAACCAGTGACAATGGCGAAGAAAGTAATGATAAACCAATAAAGTGATTTGAAACGAACTATTTTCTGAAAGCGAAAACAATTTCAAATGAAAGGAAGGAGTCACTTTTAAAAATTTGCTCTTTCCTAAACCGTCCTCTTGACAATTTATCTTGTCTCAGTAAGAATTTAATTAAGCTTAATATATCAGGGTTCGTAGTCTCCAAGACCAAAAAAATTCAAAGACTTTCAAAGATTTTTTCTGCCTATTTTCAAAGACTTTTCAAAGACCTTTGAGGGCAATCAGCTGTCGAAAAATTGCGAGTGTAAGCACCATTTTTACCCAGTAATTAGTCCCGTCAAATCACATCCTAAAATGCGCCTTTTCGTCGATATTTGCGAAAATCTTGCTTCAATCAATCTATTTTATTAGCTAGAAAATCGTATAATCAAATACTCACTAAAGAATTCAAAGACTTTTAAAGACTTTCTTCGCTTTTTCACACAATTTAAAGACTTTTCAAAGACCTCAAAGACCTGCATTCCAATTTAAAGACTTTCAACGATTTCAAAGACCGCTACGAACCCTGTATATGGTTAAAAATCAATCAAGCAAAAAAATGTTTATTTTCAAGCTTCTGAGAGCTATACAGGCAAGCTGGCATGGTACAATTTTACGGTAGCTTGGTAACTTTAAGTCAGCATTTGGGTTTGTTAAGGAAAATAGAAGATCTACAGTATATTGAACACTCATAAAGAGTATACAAGCTCGTGTTCATATCCTTTGAAATTCTATGATTTGATAATATTCAGTACCAACCTCCACCCGGCTGGATCTCGCATCGTTTCTCGAATGTTTCCTGATATCCATCATTACACACACAGCGGCCTTGTTCACAATGCGCATTCTCAGCACACTTGGCACATTTATCGACTGAATAAAAGAAAGTTTTATGACACGACTTTCAACAAACTAAACTACAGCTACATAGCTTGATCAGTTCTGAACTGCTCTCCTAAGAGACGCACTAAGGCCTTGCTTTGTCTTGCCTCATTAATCAAGTGTTACTAGAGGAGGAAACTGGAGTAATCTTCTCATATGCGACTAAGAAAAATTTTTAATGAGATTATGAGACAACTGCATATGTTAAAAATCAACCTCAGTGATGATAAAATGGAAGCACATGCACTAAAACCAAGAGTACGACAAATTCAAGAGACAATTCCAGCTTTTAGTTTATGCGTGCAATGGGTGATGGGAAGTCAGGTATCATATTGCTGATTATGCTGGAAAAAATAAAAATGGTGGCCGTGTAAACACGGAGTGATTGAAATATTTCGGTTGTTTCGGTAGTATTTATTGAAATTTTTCAGCATAATCAGCAATATAATACCTTACTTCCCATCACCCCCTGCGCGCATAAATTCAAAGCTGGAATTAATTGCCTATTCAGTTTCAGTTGCACCCAGTGGTTGTACATCACTAGTACTCCAACAATCAGTGCTTAAGGCCTGAGATGTATCGAATTATCGTACCCTGCCCTAACCTCACTGTCCCACCCACAACCAAACCTCGATCACCAAACTAAAACTAGTCCATACCTTCACAAAGCTTTCCTTCAAACTGCTGAGCGCAGGCGCACACAGCGGCATTGTTTTCCTCTCGACAAGTGCCACTATTCTGACATGGGTTCGGATTGCACACGTCACTTTCTAAAAATAGTTATCATTCATTCAACTTTGTCACGCGAGGAAAACGCTAATAGGCCTGAATCTTGTCATTTACCTGAACAGTCATCACCCTTGAAGCCTCGTTTGCAGGAGCACGAGTAGGCTTGAGTTGAAGGAACACAAACTCCTTCGTTTTTGCAGGGGTTAGGCAGACAGAATTGACGAACTAAATGGTGGAAAAAATTCTTTTGAAATTTATTTGAACAAATATAGGCTTTGCAAATGTTGAAATACGCTCGTTGTTCACAAATGAGATATAGATAAATAAGCTAAAATTAAATACACTGCTAAAATTAAATACAATATATCAATATCCATCAAGATATAATGCATGCTTGTACGTTTTGTTACAATACTTTATGTGAAATTTGTTTAGGAATAATAAATATGAAGTATAATGAACTATTTGCCAATTTATTCATCTAAAGACGTTTAAAAGTTATTTTAAGAGCAGTATGCTTGTATAATTCTCATATCCATGAGCCCGACAAACACATAGCATGGCAAGTATAGGACATAAGTGAATCTTGACTATACTCTCGGTATTTTCTTCACCGTACAATTTGAAAACAAAACAATTAAAGCACCGGACTAGAGTTGTTTGAATAAATTATACTGCAAAAAATTGAAAAGCGATTTTGAACAGACCAGTGGAATTGTAGAATTGATCTGCCGATCCCAGGGCCATTTTCGCCGACCTTCAGCCGTTGAGGCAAAATGCTCTGAGGACGAGGTTGCAACTCACCTTGACAAAGAGGTCCAGTATAGCCCGCAGAACAGTCACAGTCATAACTATCTCCTGCCTCAACACATTTCCCAGAATTCTTGCATGGGTTGGGATGACACACATTTTCTAGAAATAATAAAGAAATAATAGTTAAGTACTAATATCTGTTAAATAACTTTTTCGGGGGGGGGGGTCTACTCACTGTGACAACGCTTTCCGTCACCATGGTAACCTTCTTTGCAATGACATCTTGTTCCGACACAATCAGCAAAGAAATGACAGTGACTGCAGGAATCATCTGGTAAAGAACATAAATGTTAGCCTAAAAATTACCTTTCTGAAGCTTCTAATCACTGGATAAACATCGTTAATATTATCCATTGTGCATAAATAGAAATACTTGATCTTACGAATAACAAGCACATGTTTCTATGTTTATTGTTAGTACCCATAGTTACCACTATCCCTGTGACTATTCTGACAAGATAAGGGTGAAGAACTATCATCTACAATGTGTCTCTAAACCGCCCGAGGAACACCCTCAATCATATTCATTATTGTACATATATACCCTGCTCTATACGTCAGTGCACCTCACCGTCACAGTGTGTTCCTGCGTACCTCGAGAAATACTTACAATATCCATTTCTCTGTATAGATACCCTCCTCTATATCTCAGTGTACATAGATACCCTGCACTATACCTCAGTGTACCTTACCTTCACAGTGTGTTCCCGTGTATCCCTTGGAACATTTGCAATAATATCCATTAGTGTACATAGATGATGGTGATACCATGCTGGCGTCAAGGTGATGATAGTGGACAGCGGTCGTGTCAATGCAAGTACCACCATTAAGACAAGGATGAGAGATGCATGGCGTCTCGTCTGAAGAATAATTCAGTGAAACAATTAGTAATCATAAAAGCTGTAATACTCCACTGCGAAAGGCTGCATCATGCAGATCTTTATCGATATTTTTTCTGTTTTGTTCTTGTTTTACTATTTTATTCATACTGGATAGCTCTGTCAGTTTTAAACTGTTCTCTCTAGATATCCAGAAAATGCGATATCTTATACACGCTTATAAAATTGACCTATCTTCTTGGCAGCAAAATCCAAAATAAAATTTTTTTTATTTTATTTTTTTATTTTACAAGATTCGCCGCACCAAACAAATATTAAACTTATTCAAATATCTACGAGTGCATTGGCTGGGACTGACCACAGAGATAAACTCCAATAACGGGGTCCCGACAAAAAAGACAAATTACTATACATGCACAAAAACATTAATTGGCTTTCGCCAAACTGTCAACAACATGATCTGAAAGATAAATTTTGAATAGAACGAGTAGAGTGGCATTTGACGCACACCGATTTAAAGGTTCTAGGATTGTCTGGGTTGTAGACGTGTTCGAGAAGGTTAAAGTAGTATCTAAATAGTAAACTTTTAAAGGAAGCTGTAGATCTTCTAAAATTACCTGTGTAGGTCAAATATAAACTCTCTGTAGTCAAATATAAACTCATATGTAGAACCTCAGTCAGAAAAGTGAATGTCACATGCATTTATTGACACCACTAATTATTCTTTTTCCCAGGTAATAATTATTTTCATATAAATACGTGAAGTGCAGAAAAAGACAACATACATTCACAGTTATTTCCATGGTATCCGATACCACAAACACATCGGAATGATCCACGCTCTTCAAGACATGTTCCCGAGTTCTGACATGGAGACGGATGACAAACGTGATCTGAAAACAAAAACACAAAAGATCAACAAAATTAACACACTGAATATTATAAAAACCTAAATCAAACTAATTTTATTTATACTGGAAACCTCTAAACTGTTCTGCCTAGAGCTCCAGACGTCTAGTAAGGCCCAGCCATAAAAAATCTTGGTACAGTCACACAGGGAACACGTAAGATGATGCTAAGACATCTACATAATGCAAGAATAAAATCCTGCTCGCAGAGTGTCCTGCATGTCCATAATCAGGGCTCGAAGTAGAGAAAAAATATGGCCTGCCAGTCTAAATTTTTTGGCAGGTGAAATAAATTTTAGTCTGCCATTGTTATTCATTGAACTGCCACAATGGCGTACGAGTCATATTGTAAAAATCAATGTTTTCATAACATGCATTTTTATTGTTTTTAAACTTGTCTATTTTACTACAGTAAACTTGGATTGACATTCCAAATATAAACGTATTTAGTCAACTGAATGATCTAGTATATATGAGTTGTGGTAAGCAAATGAAATGAAATATATCTATAGAATTTCACCTGCCATTTTTTTTTACTTTGGCAGTTCAAATTTGTTTTTGCCTGCCATTTCTAAAATATGACCTGCTTTTGGGCATTGGCAGCCCGCTTTTTCGAGCCCTGGTCCATAAAGAAAAGGCCATGTCACACAAGAACTGTCTGTGACAGTGTAGGTAGAGTCAATAATATGAACAAGCTTTCGTTGGTAGGGATACAACTACCTGAAAAATATAAGGAGAATTTCGACGTTTCGAGCGAAGGTAATTTCGAGTAACTCCAGACGAAGGGCTTTCGCTCGAAACATCGAAATTCTCCTTATATATTTTTCAGGTAGTTGCATTCCTACCAAGGAAAGCTTGTCCATGTTACACAAGGCAATTTTTGCTACAACATGCAATGCAATTTTCGACAGAGAGTCAAGTTATCTAAAACGTAGTCACCATCGATATGGTAGTCACAGAGAAATGTGAGCATGGCCCATATGGGGATTCTACTCTGCCGACATTTTTTTTACATGACATACTCTCAAGGGATGAAAACTGTACGAAATAGGACGAAAAATGTCGCCAGAAAAAGCCATGAGCCAATACTCAAAATTTCCGAAAATTTTAATTTTTTTTTTAAATTCAGAATTCTCAGAATTTTCTAAAGAGATTATATAGTTTACATCGTGACCTACCTTGACAGTTGATACCGCTGAAGTGATATTTACAGTTACATTTATATCCTCCGGGTTCCTCGATACAAGTGCCGGCGTTCAGGCAAGGCGCGGAAAAACAATTACTTCGTTCTAAACAACACAGAAAATGCAATTTGGGAATACGTTCGCACGACGCAGGACGAATTAAGAACCATGCGCAAATCCGTTCACCTTCATTTGCTCTCACGGAAATCGTCCAATTTTACGCGTCCCGTGCCACGCAACTTTGAGAATGGTTTTGAATTCATCAAGCACGCAAAATGCATTGCAGTAAATGAGTGAGGGTGTGCTAATCATCCTTACTTGCAGCTGAGAGGTAAGCTGAATTACGAAGGACGCAGTTCAACCTGATCCAGTCGAAGACTTACTAAGGACGTCTCTGGCAGCCACCTTATGACTCATGTCTGATCACGGAGCACAGCTACGATGGAAGAGTCAGTTAGGGGGTTAATCCCAACCCACCCTGTCAACATTTCCTGTGGGAGGAAACCGTAGTACCCGGAGAAAACCCATAAATTTAGGTAGAGCATTGACTAACTCTTTTCATATAAGTGTCATGAGTCCGCGGCGAGAATCGAACCCACAATCTTAGAGGTGAAAGTTGCCTGCTCTGACGATTGTACCATGGAAACTATACCAAAGTAAAGTTGCTAATACTGTATAAGCTAAGCTCATATATTAGTATATCGATTCATTCTATATCCTATCCTTATCAAACAATCATTTTGAAATTCAAAACTAACCACTAAGGCACTTTCGCCTTACTTTCCTATTTAGCATACACATTGTATCCAACATTGTTCCAGCGTATCCATCACTGTCTCTTACCTTCACAAGTTACTCCCTTGTATCCTAGAGGACACGTACACTCGTACTTGGTCCCTTTTTCAATACAGAGAGCTCCATTCTTGCAGGGATTGGGACTACATTGATTCACAGCTAGAAAGAGATGGTTTGAGTTACGATAATATCGTACTTGAATATGAGAGGAAAGTAATTGATAGACTGCGCTTCTGTATCCATTACCTTCGCAACTTTTCCCCTTGTATCCCTCCCTACATAAACATTCAAATCCATCAACGTCATTGGTACCCGTACATATCCCTCCATTACGGCACGGATTAGGGTGACATTTGTTCTTATCTGAAACAAACAAAAATATCGCAATTACCCTTGACGACAGTGGCGAAGCTAGCCATGGCAATCGTTCCCAGATTGTTTCAAAATGAGAAGGAAGCGAGATTTGGGGAGACTAAGTACAAAGCTTTCGTCTGAGACGTTCTTAAAATATTTTTGCTGTCGGAATTTCTCGCAGCCCGTATTTACGAAAGACTTTCCCTTGGACGAGTACAGTCGTCTGGTGTTATCCAGACACGAGACAGATATTTTGTTCTGTCTGACTAGCAGAATGACTTCAGAGTCTCATGTAAACTTGGAGTAGAGACAACATGATGACTGAAACGAAATCATCCACTTCCGATTTCGTCCAGGTTTTATGTATTACATTACAATATTTTGCTGCCATCTGATCACGAAGTAGTATGCTCACGTACTTACATACCTTCACACGTGCTTCCCTTGAAACCGATAGAACACGTACACTCGTACCCAGTCCCCACGTCGTAACACGATCCACCATTTTTACATGGGTTTGGTTCACACTGACTTCGAACTAAAATACATTCACAGGAAAGATTTGAGTAAATACTTGATGAAATGAAGATAGTAATTCACAACTGACAAAGCTATCCAGTATAAATAGAGCTAGACGTAGTTTAGCTCTGAGAGGTTCAGATATGACTTCCATTAACCAATCAGATAAGACCAAGATTAACCAATCAGACTAAGGACCATTAACCAATCAGATGCGTTTGATATATCCGATTGACCAATCAGATGCGTTTGATATATCCGATTGACCAATCAGATGCGTTTGATATATCCGATTGACCAAGCAGATGCGTTTGATATATCCGATTGACCAATCAGATGCGTTTGATATATCCGATTGACCAAGCAGATGCATACTAAACTAGTGAGAGGTAGTGATTGCGGAAGTCAAATCTGAATCTCTCTATTGAGAAACTCATACCTTCACAATGAGCGCCCATGAAGCCTGTTGGGCACGTGCACTCGTAACCTTTGACAACCACTGTACACGTGCCCGCGTTCTGACAAGGGTTAGGGTCACACGCCACTGGAACTATAAAATAAACATAGAAAAATTTGATGTCTGGGGTGTTACTCTGAGTGTGCATCCACACCGGGCAAGCTGAAAAGTTTACCTGACCACGGTGGCAAGCTAGACTAATTTCCAGGTAGATTATTTTTTTCATTTTTGAAGAAATGAAGAAATAGTATATATAGTGAGGCTTGATAAGGGACGTGAGGTGAGGAGATAATAGAGGATGATAAGGGACGTGAGGTGAGCAGGGTGAGATGCTTTGGGCACGTAATAAGAAGAGATGTGGAGTGGTAGACATTGCAGAGAAGATGAGGGATACAAAGTTGAGATGGTATGGACATGCAGTAAGAAGAGATGAAGGAAAACTGGCTATAGACTTTATGGAATGAAGAGATCAGAAGGAGATGTGGGGTGGTAGACATCGCAGAGAAGGAAGCAAGGCTGAGATCGTATGGACATGTAATATGAAAAGAGATGAAGAAAAGCTGGTCATATACATTTTTGAATGAGATAAAGGAGAACGAATGACAGAAGATACCGAAGAAAAGACGAATTGTGTAAAAGATCAAAATATCAGGTGACAGTGGACATGTAGTCTTACACTACAGTTGAATAAAGGGAGAACAGAAAACATAATGGGCATCTGCAATTGTTAGTAGCCGAGCTTTCTAATAAGGTAAATTTACAAGGGATAGATTTGTCAATTTGTATCTTAGACAAGACATTTAAATAATCTCCGGCCTGAGGCACTAACGGATCGAAGTGTCTGTTATTCAATGCCAGCGCTGCAGGGAAAATCTACAATAGGATTATATGATATTCAATCTGACAAGACTAACTTTACTTTAAGTGAGCTTTTGAACAAGAGTATCATACAAAACAGAACTCTTGATAATTTGTGAAAGATCATAAGATCATTTCTTGTTGCCAAGAGTCAAGAAAAGCTTTCTACATGAGCACGGAAGAAAGCTGCCAAGCCTGAAGACGAAATTTTATCATGAAAAGCTCGCCAGGTTCAACTACAGGAGTGTAGCTTAATCCAAGCATCTCAGCAGGTATGACAACAATTTTAGTTTGAGAAACGTTATAACGGAATATAATCATTATAATCGTACAAAATTGATAAGATAAAGCTAAGATTGATATAATATTCAATAGGGCGGAAATATCACCACTATATATTTAAATTTCCATAAAAACATTCCACAATCTACATTCAAATATAAAGATAAATATCAACTAAATGATGTACAAACTAACTTGCATGATGATGTACCACAAAATGGCGTATCGGAGGTGGTTTTAAGATCGGATAATTAGCCATATCGTAAGGTCGATACATAAACTGTCTTTTGGTAACCTCCGACGAATCATCTTTATCTTTTGACCCCAAATCTAGCTTCTTAATTATACCCTTTCCTTTTATACTATTTCGCTTGCTTTGTAATCTTTTATCCTTTTTGTGAGCCCCGTGTGTTCTTTTCCCTTCGACGTTCGCGTTTAAAACTAGTAGTACACTCAAGCCATATAGGAACCAAAATAAATTCATAGTTTGGTCTTTGCTAGACCCAAAAATAGCCAGAAAATTACATTGAAATATTGAAGAAATATAAAAACGAAGCGAGTTCGGACTTAGTACGCGGGTTCTTTAATATATTAATGAAGCATTTGTTGTAGTTCGCTGAGGTAACTGACGCGTATAGGCACACAGAACAAAGCAATATAAAATGTTTTGGGGTTAACAGTCCTATTCAATGTTCCCACATAATTTAAATGATGTAAATACTAGGTTTGTTCTTATTGGTTGAAGGAAGACGAATTTCTGCCTTAGAAATATATTTTTCATTACAAAAAAGGTTTTAAAGATTCGACCAGTTGTTTATACGGGTGATAGATTGTTATAGATAACAAATTTAAAGTTATAGTGTACTCTTCATATTTTCAACCTGCATTTATTTAATTTGTCAGATGAATTTCATTTGTGATTCCAATCAGATTATAATTATCTGACATTGACTTTATTTAAAGATAATATCTCGAACGTGATGGTTCAGTGTAGTATAGTATAGTATTCTACAAAAAGCTGTCGAGGTTTGTGTCTGAACTACCTGAAAAGGATATCTCAAACGTGGTTGTTCAGTGTAGGTAGTATAGTAGGACAACCTTTTTTGAATTAGCTGTAAAAGATAGAACTATTTTACAATAATCTGTCGTGCCGATATCTCAATCCCGAAAACGAGGCCAGGTATTTTCCGGAAGGGTCTGTTACTCGCCTCGCGTGTTTCTACACTGACTGATTTGATATAACTGTATGGAAATAACTGTATGGAAAGTTGTTACATTTCGACAGCGAAGTCCCTTCGTCAGAACGTTAATGAAGAGTTTATACGCATGCCACCGTCAGGACGACGGCTAAACAAACTGTTTGAAATAAATTATTATACATGGAAATCTTGTTTTGTATTTACTTTCGTTTGAATTTAACACAGTTTCGAACGAGCAAAACAGAGCTTTAACCTTCAGAGCAATATTTCGATCAACTCTGCTAGAAAAACTATACCAGTCACGGCTCGAAATGCTAGCGTACTACTCTACGAGACGTGAAGATATGCATTTTGCCTTTGTCAATAGAGCTTGGACGACGTCTAAAACCCCTACTATATAGGCTTAAAACTTGTCATTTCTTTTGTGCCATTGTATTGACAGCTGTCATCCTTACATGCGTAAACTCCATATCATAGCTGATACAAACGTCCCATCTGTAAGGGCCTCTGTTGGAAATGTTGACAACCGTTGTCTAAACGAATTTTTTTCAGGTAGTTTAGACAACCCACAGCAGCTTCTACTATGAAAAATCATCGCCATTAACCTTCCTATGTAGCACCCGTCAAATACGTGAAAAAACAATGAAGCCGGCAGGTAGAGTGAACAGCGTGAAACTATGAAGAAACTTCAAAATATTAACAAATATAAATGGCTTTTTTTTCGTCTTTTCTCCAACAAATCTAAGACATGAAGAATTTTTATAAAAAGGGGAGCAATCGTTAGTAATTATGGGCTTAAATAAAGTCATTGTTTCGAGGAAGTGCATTAAATGGAAAGCAATTGGGATCGTTTTATTGGGCTTGCTAAATATTGGAGTTAATTTAGGCCACACGGCGAATGATCAAAATCAAAGTTTAATTGTCAATAATGGAAATCAAGAAAAGGGCAAGCGAAATGTACTTTATAATTATGTGACAGATCGACCTCGTGAACAATTTGGAGATATTCACGAGCAGTCGGCTAGCCCGAGGACCGATGTAGCGTCATTAGTAGCACAAAAACAACACTTAGCTCGATTACTCAAGTACCGGCAATACTTGGCAAAGTTATACTCGAAACGAAGATCAGATATAGACTCGCCGATACTACAAGGCGACATGACTGATTTCAAAGGTAAAGATTACGAGACCTCGCCTGGAATTCTAAGCGATAATCAATTAAAAAACTATGAAGGTGTTCAGGATATCAACAAAAAGTATGGTCCCAAGATGGTCGGGTTAGATTATTACGCAAAAGACGCGATGCCTGCGTCTCATGTTATATTACCTCAGCAAGATTATCACAGCCCGATCGGAAGCAATCTGGATTCGGGAATGGGTTATTCGCAGTATTCACAAACAAGGGATGCGGTTATGAGCCAGCCAGTTTTGTCGAAAGATGAATCCGATGTGGAACGGCTCATTGAATTGGAAAAATTGCGAGAGCTCGAGGAATTGAGAGGTATACATCGATTAAGTTTTCATAATTTCTGTTTTTCATCTAGATAAGTGAAGTTCTAAATATCGAAATATAGTAAGTTGTTTTTGTGGAATTTGTTCCATTGTAAATATTTTTGAAAACATTGACATTGTAAACAATTGAGCAAACATTGGAAACATTTTTGTAAACTTCTGAAAATTTCCATTGAAGAGCGGTCAACAATTTTTCGCAAAGGAAGCTGGATTAGTCCTTTTCTGTTATATAGATAAAGTTTAATTTTCAGTTGGTACTTTTTATACGACCTTTCCGTGTGTGTACGGCAAAAAGTGCCAAGGGATCCATGTTTCAAAGCTAGTCATGTGAGCTTTTGGACAATGAAAATTTGATTTTTCCTGTGTTGGTGTTATGTACTCATTGGGCTTGTATTCCAAAGGTCGTAGGTTCGATTCCCACCGTGGCCAGGCATATTTTTCAAGCTTTTCCGGTGTGGATTTTCACTCAGAGTAACAACACAAACATCAATGAAAATTTGTTCATGTGTGCAAGGAAAACTTGACAAGTGTCCAAGAATACTTCTATCAGTTCTATGGTTTTGGCAAGCAACAGGCGGCCTTGACGCGAGATAAATGTTTAACCACAGGGTTCGTACATGTCAGAGAGAGTTGAATTGAAGGACTTCCCAAGGACATTCAAGGCCATGTATCAGCAAATTCAAGCACTAAATACTGAAGAAAAGGCGTTAGAAATCAGTAAAATGTGACGTTGAATTGTTCGAAATGCAACTTTAATTAGTTTCATATACAGCTTTCTCAGATATTAACATCCAAAATCTATTCAACAAAACAATTTCCGAAAATATCCTTGAACTAAAGCCAAGAAGAATTCAAGAACTTTCAAGTACTTCTTTACAAATTCCAAGACATTCAAGGCCTTGAATTTTTGTTTTCAAATTCAAGGACTTTCAAGTTTTGTACAAACCATGTAATTAGGCCTAACAACATTCCGTGCAAGGGAAACTTGTCAAGGGAAACTTGTCAAGGAAAGCTTGTTGACTATACACACGAGAAAGTAAACTTGTCAAGGGAAACTTGTTGACTATACACACGAGAAAGTAAACTTGTCAAGGAAAGCTTGTTGACCGTACACACTAGAAAGCAATCTTTTCAAGGAAAACTTGTTGACTGTACACACGAGAAGGTAAACTTGTCAAGGAAAACTTGTTGACTGTACACACGAGAAGGTAAACTTGTCAAGGAAAACTTGTTGACTGTACACACAAAAAGGTAAACTTGTCAAGGAAACTTGTCAAGGAAAATTTGCGTGTCTGTTACGAGGCTTAAGAGATATATGATCCTCGCCGGACCTCTGGAAAGAGCATTTGGATTGAGCTACCCAATCTTTCGATGTATAATTTTTTATATACTTTTCTTCTGCAGAACAAGCGTACAGACACCTGCGTCTTCATCCATGTCAAATGCACACATGTCAACATGGTCACTGCATAGCAACTGGACGTGGTCATTATAAATGTTCATGTAGACCTGGTTACACAGGGCTAAGATGTCAATATGGTAAAAATAATTATCGATCTACGTGTCTTTTAATTAATTCAACCTTTTTCGACGGGGGGGGGAGTATATGTTATTCCGAATAAGGAGCACATAATATTACCACACAATTTATAAGAACTGTATATTTCGAATCAAATCTGATTCATCTTCAGCAGTGTTTTGCAAGAAATGTCGTTGACATATCTTGCAAAACACTGCTGAAGATGAATCAGATTTGATTCGAAATATACAGTTTTTATAAATTGGGAGTATATGTCACCCCCCCCCCCACCCCCCATCCCTTCCTCGCAAATTTGTTTACATAAAAGTTTTGTTTGTTTACCACAGCACAACACCGGGCGTGCACCCCGAACCCCTGTGTGAACGATGGCGGGTGTACACAAGTGGAGACTGGATACGAGTGCTCGTGCGCTGCTGGATATCGAGGAAAAACATGCCAAGGTATGACCATCCTCGTTCCCAGGGCCTCGCGGGACCTTCACAGGTCCTGGGATACCCGGAACCGGAAGTGCAAAAAAACTTCAGTAGCTTCTAAAGCGCATGCTCTTGAATTGGGACGCTTTAGCACCCGTAACAATATTCACAGACAAGTAATACCATGGATAATAAAATAAATGGATAGGAAACTAGCTGACGTGATCTAATGTTTTCAATGGGCTGATGGCGTGATTGGATGTTGAAACCTAGTTGCAAACCAAATTCTCAAAAACGGCATGTTTAGCAATAATACAGCTCAACATTTTAGTCAAAGAGCAAATGAATATAACTACGCCATTCTACGATGAAATCTCTAAATATTCCCAGTCAATTTTAGCAAATATTTCAAGCACTAAACAGTGAAAAATGCATCCCAAATTTCGTTAAAATTGGGGACGCCAATTTCGTAGCTACAAATGTAAAAAAAATACAAAACAAACACGAAAAACATTTACCTTGAATATTTTGTCGTGGCTTAGGCATGTTTTTAAAACAATTAGACCAGTTTAAGCTTCAATATTACTTTTTTAAAGCGGAAAGTATAGCGAAACAACAAAAATGTCGAGAACTTTGCAATACGCGTGACGTCACAGATTGCAACTAGGTTGTTTTTGCTTACGTCAGCTAGAGTCCTATCCATAAATTTTATTATCCATGGTAATACGAAGAAACGAAGTATATTTGTGTTGACATATTTTGATAGAAAAAATTTTCCTACCAAAACTATTGCTCAACCTCCGCGAAATAGCAGTTCTCTGAGAAGCCAATCAGATCTCTGAGTCTAGGGATGAGCCGATTAATCGGTAAATAATCGGCAAAGCCGATTAATCGGCCGTTTTTTAAATAATCGGTAATCGGCCGATTATTGCCTGATAATCGGCAAATAATCGGCCATAAGACTTTCTCTGCAGCTGCCAGTCACATGCTAAAATACTGAATACAAGCAAATAGATTTTCACATTTTGTTGCAAAACCTGTGCCTTCTTTCGTCTCAAGTGAAGTGAAGCTGGGAACATTTCCACTAAAAAAGCGCAGCAGACTAGCTCCGCATATTGTCTTGTTTTTACACCAAAATCTGCCAAAACTAAACTTTGACTATTGACATGCGAGACTGAAGCTGTTTTTAATTGTACAAAGTGTGTATTGTAAACAATAAAACCGCATTTATAATTTCATTGTTGGTCGTCCTGTGATTTTTCGCTTGCTTTTTAAAATAATCGGTGGGTACCGATTAATTGGCCGATTAGTTACAATAATCGGCTTATAAATAATCGGCCTCAGTAATCGGCAATTTTCCTTATCGGCTCATCCCTAGTACGGTTGTATGCTGAAATTAGTTTGGTATACCGTACGCCAGGAATCTCAGACAAGTATGATCGTGTGCACTTCCTACAGCAGAGCTGAACCGTTACCCCTTTCTGTTTGCCTTCAAATCCTTCAGACAATGAACAAACATTTGCTTCTAATCCTGAAATATCTATATATACAGCTATTTGCATTTTACAGTGCAAAGCCTTCGGTTATTTTTGGCACAACTGTCATGTTTTGATGTGCCTTCATGCACGTTTCAGTATTTATAACAATCAAATATGAAGCATTAAAAAATCCAGAAACATCGAGTTTACTGCTCGAATCCTGGACCACCGTCTATGTTGCGTCGTTTAAAGTCAGCATTTCAAACATACGTCAACTTAGTACAGAGCGTACGACCTCGTACGGTATTTCTGATTTATTTTTTAAGCCCTGACTCCTGAAAGAGGTAATAATCTGGTATGATCTGCCATTACCCGATAATTGTGATCCTTATGAATGCTCTTTCCAAAACATGCCATACACAAAACACATGTGTCATCAACAGCACAATCCCTGGTGAGAAAAGGGATAATTAATTTCACAGAAAACTTTAATGCACCATAGATTTTCAGAATCATGCTCAAACTAGGTTCGGAGCCGGGCGGTTCAAGGTAAAAACTGAAAACTGTCGGAAAAAAAACGAAAAAACCGATCTTTTTTAATGAAAATTTCCTTGTGAAAATTTAAAGGAAATTTCATAAAATAGTGGAAACACTGGGTAAAAAATATGGCGGCCATTTCGGTTGCGAATAACGAATATTTGGGTCTTATTTTCGCTCAATGATTCTCTAGTACTCTATGCTTCCCATTTTATCAATAAACTGCCAGACCCTTAGCTCAAACCCTGACAAATCCTACCTAGAACTCACAAATATATTTCCAAATTTATCTGGTCTCGTATGAACAAAGTCTTAAAGGTATTTTGTTGGAAATCACAGGCTTGATCCAGACTGTAAAGTTTGGCCTGCGCTGGGAATTTCTGTCCGCTCATTTTCAAGAAAATCCTACAAAATCTGCATATTTTTGATGAACTAATTATTTATTTTGCCTCTTGTGTGTTGGGCCTTGCAAAAATATGTAGAGAAAACTCTGAAAATGCCATTTAAGAAGATCTAGAGACACAACCGTGGTGGAACCTTGGGCAAAAAAAAATATGTGGGTTTCCGGTTTCCCGACCCTACCAAAGACCCTACCTAGCTTTTGGATGCCAAAATCACGACCCTAAACTTTTTATTGGATCATGCTCGTAAGTGTTTCCACTTAGAGGAAAAATGGAAATTTGAGGCAATATTAGGGAAATTTATCTTTGAATGTGGAAGCACTGATTAAACAAAATGGCGTCCGGTTGTTAGGAAAATTTTAAACCCTACCTAAGGCCCGGTTTAGACGGCGAATTTCTCATGCGCCGAACCTAATTGTCGTAGATACGGCAAAATATCGGAAACTGATTTAGACGTCGAACTTAATTGCACCGTACTAAATTGCGAAGACATTATATTGGAAATATTTACAATGCAAATATATGATAATCATATTATGATGTTAAAAAATAATTATG